ATTGCCTCCTGAAAAGGCTGTTCCTCCAGAGTTAGAAGATTTACAGTGAGCCCAAAACCACTCCTGACCATATCCTCTGCATTGCCGGGCTGATCTCCAAAGACGGGTAATGAAAGCATTGGCTTTCCGTGATACTGAGACTCTGTTATGCCACCTTTGCCGGCGTGATTGATGAATAGCTTTATTTTCGGATGGGCCAGGATATCGTCCTGAGGCAGCCACTTGGAGTAGAGAATGTTGTCCGACTTTCCGGGGGTCTTCTCCAGATCCTCCCACTTCCAGATTACTCTTTCCTTAAGTTTCGACAGGACGTTGAACATCTTGATTACCGTGTCTGGCTTAATGTGGCTTCCCTTGACATTTGAACCCAGAGTAAGAAGTACAGCTCCATCAGTGGCATTTCCCAGGAAATCAGCAATATTTTGCGGCAAGGGATCAGGCTTGTCCTTAATTTGAATACCACCGATTTCTATGGATGCCGGAACATTGGGTCGGATGGGTCCTTCGCTGGCCGCGTGGCTGGCAAAGAACACCATCGATGTGTTCTTGAGCATTTCTGAGTACTCCGGCATGGTGGGATCGTCACCGAAAACCTCTCTGGAAATGGTAAACGCAAATATGTTTTTGGGTGCATATTTTGTATCAGGGTTCTACTTACTTATACAAATTCCGATTACGCTTTTCCGAAAAAAGAGTAAAGATCCCGAAAACGCAGCTTATAATGTAGCTGACCAATCGTTGCATGAAGGTAGCACCTTTACCCTTCTCTACGTCGTTGCTTCCCGCGTAGGAGATCTCCAAGGGATTACCAATCAGTGGGTTCAACATTGGATTGGGTGCCATTGTGGCCACGACGATGACAGGTGCATTCACCTTCCTTGCGAATCCAAGTTGGAAATCGTTCATGAAAAATCCAGAGAGTACTAGGTCGAATTTATTGTCCTTGTTCAAATACAGATCCTTAACCCGATCATCCATTAGGGTTTCGGCATTCTTTCTGAACATGAATTCCATCTGTCCCATCATTCGGATGAGGCATACAGCCATGTTGCTATTGTCTGTCTTGGACATCTCTCCAATTGAATCGCTCATAAACTGGGACTCCTCCTTGGTGAGGGGCACCTCGATTAGGGTTATGTTCTTGTGGGTAATCACTGGCTTTAGTGCTGTGACCACAGTCACATTATGACCCTTCTCCGCCAGAACCTTAGCTGCCGACATTTGGATGATCAAGTGGGAAGGACTCAGGCTTGGAAAGAGACCCAGGATGTTTGCACCTTGGGAGCCATCCATAAAAGCAGCGATGGCTATGGCTAGCACCAAAATCTTACTCGGTTCGTGAACCATGTTGGTGGATCGTTTAACGCAAACTGATAAAGTCCATTGACTGGCAGTGCCTTATATTCGAAATCAAACAGACGCTGACTTCAGATGACGGCTCAGCTTGCTAACGATAAGCCGGTAGTACTTTTTGCGATTGTTGTGCTAGGTTGCACCAAACAAAACCATTTCACAACCGATTTCAGATATTTCGTGAAAGGTTTTTGTATTCCTTATCGCCTTAAACATTATTGTAATCTTGAGCTTTCTAAAACGGGAACCGTTCCCTACTTGTGTTATCATGGTTTGATTTCGAACGATAACATTATCGCAAAATTATTGCAACTTATAAAACCCATATTTTTTTACGGCTACGGTTTTCATGTCTTTATCAAAATGTTGTATTTATATATAGTCGAACTGATCAAGCCATGTTTGTACCAATGTGTACCTTTGTTGTAAAATTTAAATATACAGAATTTGCTTTGGCCGCCGACATTTGGATGATCAAATGCGAGGGACTCAGACTGGGGAAGAGACCCAGAATATTTGCACCCTGAGAGCCACTAAAAAAGAGACAATCGCTATCAGCAATAAATGTTTCAGCTTGTGATCCATGTTGAGGGATCGCTTACAGTAGACTGGGAAAGTTGACTGCCTGGGAGAGCATTATACTTGAAATTATGAAGACTTCGGATGACACAGATAAGCGTTTAGCTTTTGTTGTTCTGCTTAATTCAAATTTCGTGAAACTTTTTAGTAAAAATGTATGAATAATTGTCTTATCGCTGTTGTTTATATTTGCTTTCAAAATACCTAAGAAAATCCCATCGTATTTCGTCTGTATAATTTATGCAATTTTTTAACCGATAACTCGATCAAAATTTCCCAATTATTAGTAATGTAAAAGTAATGTTTTGACCTCTAGAAATTCAGCTCAATATGGTATTTTTTTAAGTATTTGATTCAGTATAAAATGGATCGAAGTAAAAAGAGAGGCCTTTGGGATGACTTTTATCTCCTCTCATCCCAAACTACAATTTTGTGCCTTTTGTACGTGTTCTGGCAGAGCCTGCGGTCAAAAGAGTGTACTTTTTTTTGGTTGAAATTCGGTGGAAAAACATTTGACTGGAAGAGAAAAACGATGGGAAAAGCAAGTAAAATAAAACTGAAGCATAGCCACGGTGACACTTTGTGGCACACGACTTGGAAAACGGAACCCACACCTGAACGGAAAACCCCGGATGAGGCAATTTACAGTTACGCGGCCACGTGACTTACTAAATCAACTTGGACTGTCGCTCGTTTTGCGGCATCCGAAAAATACAGGACTAAGAAGTGAAAATATAAAAACACCTCAAATCCAATTCCCGCCCAGGGTGATGGTGGTGTCGCCGGAAATGTCGGGCTGACAAATCGCGTGCAAAAATCTGTGAAATCTTCGTTTGTTGCCATCTCTATCTGTGAATTCCGGACCTGAAGACCTTGTGCACTGAGAAAAATTCTTTAACTTATTTTTATATACCTGAGTTTATATTTATCATTGTAAAATAAATATATATATTGTGGTTTTTAAACAAGTAGTCTGATAACTTTATTGCTATTGTGACTTACCAACTTGGTTTTTAGGGTTCCGAAAAATCAAATATATTTTTCTTCTAATAGCACATTTTTCAAATAAGTTAGAGAGTATATGGTTATTATGTTTTGCTAATAGTTAATCATAGTTTGTTATCTAAATCAAGTGTACTGATTTATTTAGAATTTTTTTGAGTGCAGATTGCCGAGCAACTGCTTCGAGTTTCCTTTCCATGAGTAGGGTTTTTGCTTTGGCGCCTCGGTGTGGACTCAAAAATCCCTCCGAGCACCGGCGGCGCCTCTTTGGCAATTTGTTGGGTTTTCTTTTTTCTTTTTTTGCTTTTACTTTCCTTGTTGTTGTTTTATCCCATTCCAGTGGCAGTGGTAAATTTTTTGATTAATCAAAGGACATTTTTTTGTGCAGTGCCCGTGTCTCTTGGCTGTTTGGTTGTCGGTCTGGCCAAAAAAGGAGGCAGAATTAATGCAAAAATGATGAGTGGAAATTTGTCAAGCTTATTTACTTCCGTCATTTAATGGGCCCGCGGCAAATTGTGGGCGGGGTGGAGGGGGTCACAGCCGTATCCGGATCCGGAGCTGGAACTCAAGTCGAACCCACGCCAACAGACGGCGGAACTTATCTTTGTTTGCTTCAAATTTTTTTTTGGTTATTTTCCCGTTGCCCAAGGCAATTTTATGCATAATTTTCGGTCAATGCCTGACAGTTTTTTTGTTCTTGTTATTTTTGCTACTGATTTTTTTTTCGGCTGTCATTTTTACCTGCGGCGGCCATTGGCCATTGCATATTTTAGACCGGATTTTCCCTAATGCGTTGAATATTTTTCACTGCCCTGTAAAGTGTTTGGTTTTATATTTATTTTCTGGGGGATGCTAAATCGAATTTCTCGTTGTTGGCATTTTCCTTTCATTTTTACTGTGTTTTTGTTTGTTTGTATCTGTTTGCCATAAGTTAGGTAAACGACTTGAGGATAGGAAATGTGGGGCATAAGCGTTTTTTTCCTCAGGAGTCCCTATTGGGTTTTGCGGAATTCAGATTAGGTAAGGTATTTGAGTTGAGATTTTTTGTCCCAGCCTAAGAGAGGCAACCAGTAGACTTCCAGGAAACGGGGAACACTTTAAAGATTAAGGAATACACAAGGAATACTAATTTAATAAGTTAACAAAAGCTCCGAGAGCAAATACAAATACTTAAATTTATAAAATTACTCAAACTACTTGCCTTTAAAAATGTACTGATCAGAATACTTAATTTCAATTTCTTTTTAAGTTAGCTTTTCCTTTTCATTCCCAATTTTCAAATATTTCTTTTTCGATCGTTAAAATTTTCCGTGTTGTGAATAACTAAAAATGCAATGGCGTTTTTTACTTTGCAAGTTATTTTGCTTTAGTATATTATTTTTAATGGAAATGATTCACATTCGCCAGGTTCTATGGCAGCCCTTGAGCTGTCAGGATCCAGACCCAAGTTCAGTAATATTTACTGCTGCCATCCACAATTACCTTCTTCAAGTTGGACCACTTCGCAGGATCAGAAATCAGCGTAATATCACCAAGAGACATTTCATAGGATTTATAATCCTTCATATAGTTGTGGTTTATCTTTCACTGGCAGTGGTTTGGGACACATCCGGATGTCTATTACAAAAGATATTAGCTTATAAAGAAAACACTAATTTACCCCAATATATGAATCTTATTCGTCTTTCCATGGCGTTTACCTTCCTTTTAAGCTGCTGGAATCATCCTAAGGAACGTGAAAACTACTGTAGAAGAAGTGCTGTGGATATGAAAAAGGATAATGATTATTTCGACCTTTATTCCGTGTGGGATGTCCTTCCATCTGAGATCCATTTGGGTAGTTTGGGCCTACGCTACAGGGAACGCTTTCCGAGGCCAAGAGAACCACCTTATAATGCTGTTGCCAGGAGTGTTTATAAACCAAAAAAATAAATATAAAAAGGAAATTTAATTTACTTTATTTGTGTAAGCAATACACATTTTTTTCTCAAAAAAAATATTTGCAAAGGTAACATTTTTTGTGTCCCAATTGAAACTTCAAAAAAAAACCTTTTCATGTAGTCTTTTTTATTCGTATTTATTTATTTCCCATACATCTTTTAATACAATTAACAATTCACATACAATAATTAAGTTTACTTGCCATTGATTGTGTGTGTTCCTTTTTCTGTGCTCAAATATTCATGTGTAAATTTGTTGATATTCGAATTTTCCTCCACTATTGAAATAATTCTGACATATAATTGTATTTGGTAGCAAATTTTACGTTTAGATACCTATATATTAATTTATATTTCATAGTTTTCCTCCTGTGTTGTTGATTTTCTCGGTTTCGCATTTCCGATGGCTTGTTCACACATAAAACAAAGGTTGCATTACACTTATGTAGGAAATGGCTGGGCTTCCTTGCGCGGACCTAGACTAATTCGATTTCGACTATATACAAATTCAACTGTTGCTGCCTTGGCTTGTTAACTTTTCATTTGGCTCGAAATGGTGCGAATCACCCAATTAATTTGGTGCCCGTTTCTGTCTCATTTTTAATTTGGTTTATTTTAGAGTGTGTGCACTGGGAGACTTGGGTCCTTAGATCCTGGAAACTTAGGCCACAAATAGAGCGCCCGTTAATGCCAGCCACTAACTCTGGGAGCCGTGCCAGCGCAGAATGTGGACAAGGCTTAGAAGCCAGGCGGCCAGGGAAGCTGGAAAAAAGAAAGAAAATGTATACAACAAAATATAATAAAATATTATAAGAAGAAATATTTGTAACACTTTTATTCAAATCTTTTTTAACGGCAAGGTCTTAACATTATGGTGTTTCTATAAAATAGAGAGTTTCCCTCAGCCATAATTTTTTTAACAAGAAATGTGTTCATGAAGTAAAATTTTTTAGGACTTAGTAATACATAAACAATCTTAAATTCTTCTCAAATATTACTTGAATAATAATTAAAATCAGAAAGAGCAAGAAAAAAGGGGTTGGTTAAGTAAAGGCAACCGTACGTATAAGTGATATGACTTTAGTTCCTAAGCCGGATGATAATAGGTCCTTAATAACTTGCATATAATTTTGGACTGCCCTAATGTCCATAATTGTAACCAGCAATTAAATAATTTTATTTTATAAACTGTATTTATGATATTTTTTTAAATTCTAGTTTAAAAATTATTGAATTAATAAAGAAACTTCCAGCTATTTTTAAAAAGAACCGAAGGCCAACTCACCTGGTTGGCCGGTGATGCAGGATCCGTTCTCGGTGAGCCGCTGCTTGGTGCCGGCGTCCTTGAGCGCCAGGATGGTGGTCCTCACCCGGCTCTCCCTCCGCACCGCCGCCAGACCCATGATGTCCGCCGTGCACCGGAGCTCCAGCATCTCGCTCTTGCTGATGAACCGCGGGTCGTCCAGGTGGAGGCGCAACTGCAGGTGGCTGGCGAACAGGTGAAAGCCGTCGGCGTTGCGTGAGACTTCGTTGATTTGCGGCTGCAAACTGTGCCCAGGTGCCTGTGGCCGCAAGCAAACGGAAACGGAAATGGAAATGGAAATGGAGAGAGGTGGGTTTAAAAGCCGAATTGTGCACCACATGCGGGCGTGACTTTCAGCCGGTCTTCTGTCCCAGTTCTTTGTCAACATTTGGACAAGTTCGATGAACAGAAAGGGCTTACTGACTGACTGGCTAAAATGCGGCTTAAATAGAGAATGTAGTGTCTCTAATACACTCAAAAAAAGACCAATTTTCTCTTGCGGATTATTAAAAGCAGATTTGAGAATTTTTGATTGACAGTTTTCTATTAGAATTTTTTGATTTTGATAATAATAAGATAGGTGTTGATTTCATAATGTATTTATATTGTAAAACTCAAAGAGAAATCTATTTTATTTAAGTGAGTAAATTTCTTAATATTTTCATTTTTTTTTTCATAGTATTTCTTTCCTTACCGTTTTGTTGTTTATATACCACATTAACTTGGCCATTGGACTGGACATTTCTGAGCTGCAGTTGGCCACCAGATAATCGTGATATTTATAGGCATGTCGCACTCCCGAGATAAAGGGATCAAATTTGGGTAGCACTGAAATGTAATTAAAGGAATTGAAGCATTTTAATTATAAATAAAACAAAAATAGTTTTAAAACCCTTAACATTTAAACCAATATTCCATTTAATCCAACAGGAATTAAAGGCCACCGATTTATTATTTTCCAAAAGTGCATAAAGTTTCATTTTAGTTCGCCGTCGGCAAAAGTACATTTTTGGTTTAAAACTCTGCCGGCAAAAGCATAATGCCATTTGGGCACCAAACTTATCCCAATTAGAACCGAAATCCGAGCTTAGTTTCCGTAGAAATGGATGCTATATGGTAAAGTAAGGCACTTAGACAATTACCGACACGCCAACACCAAATATTTATTTGAAGTGTTAATTAATCTTAACAAATAATTGCCCAGGACAAAGTTTTTTGATGAAAACAAGCGTAATTTAGTTTATGGCGAAGGTCCCCCCGATTTCCCACCGCCGCCCCATTACCGCAAAGGCAACAAATCCCGCATCCGAATGAATGTTGTTGTGGAAAATTTGTGAAATATGCTAAGGACCTCCAAGGCCTCGAGAGACAATGGATGGCGAGGGGAAAATCAGGGGGGTTGGCATCAGAAGTCAGGCAGTCAGCAGGACTGTAAACTTTTTAATTGACTTAATACAAACCACTTTGGTGGAAAGTTTCTGACCTGTTTCAAGTACAACTTACGGGTGGGTGGGGACTGACGGACGGACGAACTGAATCCGGAGTTGAAGTTGATGATTGCGGCCATGTTGTGCCTGGTGGCACGCCCACTTGGCCCATTTGCCCATTTGGCCGCCCCCAATTGTGTGACTTGCATTGCGGGCGAAACAAAAGCAGCAAAAATGAAAATTCAACGAAAACAAAGCAATCAACTAGGGTAAATAAACCAAAAATGGCAATGTAGTATACCCAAGTACTAGTAAACCACCAGGAACAAGATTGAAAAAATACACACACCCAGTGGTGAGGGAAACTCCCCGCCGAAAACCAAAAAATACAAAGGAAAGTCAGTTTTTGGGGGGCAAAAATTGTGTTGTTGGAATGCTAAACGAAGCTAAACGAGCCAAAAAAAACAAGTGCAGGATTTCCAGTCTGGACAGGTGTAACCATTTTGGAGCGTGTGTTTAGTTTAAAGGGAAAACTGACCTCGAATGATAAGCCCCCGCATTAAAATACAACAAAAGCTCAGAGGGGAGCATCAAAAAGTGGGTCGATAGAGAGAGAATTAATATTTAAAAATAAATTGAATTCTTTAAAATATTGTTTTATATATATTTGTTATGCACTTAAAAAGTTCTGACGATGTCAGAATAAATATTTTGTAAAATAACTTATAATAACTAGATATTGCTATCAACATATAAAGAACATTGTTTCAATTATTTGTTTGTAAAAGTATGGACAACTTTACTTTGTTTATTTTATTAATAGTTTTAGGAAACTTTGGTAATGCAATTTAAGATTAGTTAAATTTTCTAAATTTCCCGGGGATTTTAGGGATCTATTAAACTTTAACTAATCTTGTCTAAGTTTAATTTAACTTTGTTTAAACTTATGCTACTTAATATTTATTTTGATTTATTTTAAACCACTCTCTAATAATTAATTATATATAAAAGGAAACTGTGTCCCCACTTTCAACAATGAGGTTTCTTTCAGTGGAAAAGCTAAAAAAGAACGTAATCAGCTTGTACCCAAAAATGCGGCAAATCTCCGAAGTAATTAAGTGCGGCTCAGTTGCCGTTTTATGGTCAGTGTGTGGACCGGCATGTCCTGGCATGTCCTGGCGTATCCCGGCGTATCCTGGCATTTGCCGGCCCATTGCTGAGCTGTGCAAACTTGGCAAAGTTAATCAGTGTGATGACACACGGCACGCAGCTAAGCGACAAAATATTTGCCAGGCAAAAGTTTAGACCAAACCTCGAACCCCCGGGCCTGATCCCGTTTTCCTCAGTTCCCGTGTGTTTCCGTGGATCCCCATATCCCTGTATCCCTGGTCCTGTTTCTGGGCATCATCAAAGCGTCCTGTTTGAAAATCGAGCGAGAGCTCTCGACCCAATGTTGTTGTGACAAAGTTTTTAAGGTGGTTACGATGGCGATGGCACTTTAGTGACAAAATTCCCAAGTCGATTGTTGGTCTGTCAACAGCTTCGCCTTCATTGAAACAAAAAACGGGCGACACCAGCTAAAACTACGTGCATCCAATTCCCCCTTTAACCACACTTTTCCGAACACTTTCCCCACATTTCCCCGCTTTTTCCCCGATTTCCCCGCACACGGACATATTGTTCCGCCCAAAGAGGACTTTAAACTTTGCCGCTATCTCGTTGATGAAGTTTGATGCCATGGCTGGTTGGCTTTATTTTGTTTTGGCTCTTGCCCCTGGTGGCATTGTATTTTTGTATATTTTTTTTGTTGTCCAGCTTATTCTCTGGGTTTATATGTATATAAATTAAAATGACGAAACCAACTGGCCACTGACACTGGCATATGCCAAAGGCACTCATCGCTCGACGGACAATGCAGCCACTATGATTATATGGTCTGTTCTCCCTTTTATTATCTCCAAAAGGTTTTATTTGAATTTCATATGTTGTGGAGCAGAAAAGAGCAGGGCATTAAAGGAGCTTAAATTTAAAGTCACATAAAGAAAATCAACTAAAAAATGTATCATCATCATAAAGTTCTTATGAAAACAAATTATTAATTTATTTTAAAATATGAGAATTTATTTTTATATATATAGTATAAGTAGCTATTAAAAGCGGTTGCGGAGGTTTTTTAGGCGGTTTTAAATGTATTTTGTATGAGTTGTTTTTAATTGCAAGCGTATACTCATCCCATAATCAGTGTGTTTGGTATTCCACGGAACCCTCCCGTTTTATTGCATTTCAAATATTGTGACCCCTCGTTATCTTCTGAGAATGAGCAGGAGAAAGTGAACGTGCGTACCCACGAACCCGAATCTCACCCCCTACCCTCGAGTCCTTGCTCATGACTGCTTGTGCGCGAAGGTGTGAAATTTTAATTTTGTGAGTTTTTTTCAAAATGTGCAGTTTTTATTTTAGAACAGAGAAAATTATACCATTGGAAAGGGCTTGAAAAATGCTTTCCAATGATACCAAATTTTTTTTTTTTTTTTTTTAGTGAGGGGGTATACTATTTAGGGTATCGGAGGTCATCGTCGTTTTTTGCCTTTTTCAGTCGAGTAGTGGGAATATACGGGAGCGGCGGTTTTCGCAGCGGAGGTTTGGACGCTGCCGAGACTGCCGCTGCGATGACAGCCGCTGCGGTCTTATACTCTAGTTTTTCTTATATGTTATACGATTCCTTTTGAGGAGTGTGTCTAGGAAAAATGAGCTGAAGAATCACTTTAATGTTCAAGTTGTATAAGACTTATAGGATCACTTTTCAGGGCTAAGGATATCGAAATTGTTTGTGTCTACGATAAAGTTAGAAGTTAGTGTATAGAAAAATTAGCTGAGGATATCGAAATTGTTTGTGTCTACGATTAAGTTAGACGGGTGTGTATAGAAAAATTAGCTAGTGGGATCACTTTAAGGTTTGTGTTGTACATTTCTTATTGGGAACACTTTTCAGGGTTTATATCTAAAGGCCACCCAATAATATTTATGTGTAGGATAAGAAGTTTAGGTTTAAGAATTTCTTAAAACGGTGCACTGAAGCGGAAAATTGTACCGAATTTCAAATTCTGCCTCTCTCGTATATTCCCACTACTCGACTGAAAAAGGCAAAAAACGACGATGACCTCCGATACCCTAAATAGTATACCCCCTCACTAAAAAAAAAAAAAAAAAATTTGGTATCATTGGAAAGCATTTTTCAAGCCCTTTCCAATGGTATAATTTTCTCTGTTCTAAAATAAAAACTGCACATTTTGAAAAAAACTCACAAAATTAAAATTTCACACCTTCGCGCACAAGCAGTCATGAGCAAGGACTCGAGGGTAGGGGGTGAGATTCGGGTTCGTGGGTACGCACGTTCACTTTCTCCTGCTCATTCTCAGAAGATAACGAGGGGTCACAATATTTGAAATGCAATAAAACGGGAGGGTTCCGTGGAATACCAAACACACTGATTATGGGATGAGTATACGCTTGCAATTAAAAACAACTCATACAAAATACATTTAAAACCGCCTAAAAAACCTCCGCAACCGCTTTTAATAGCTACTCTTAGCTTAAGGCTTAGGAAATTCGAATGGTTGCATCGCGACATCTTATGCCAATGCTGGCCCGACCTTAACTGACCATTTATTCATATCTTGCTTACACAGAGATTGCCTTTCCTTAACCTATGTCGAAGTTGCACACCTTCGATATTTACCTACATCCAGACCCCTCCTACACCACGTTCACCCCCGGTAACTTGTTATCAATCCTTGTGTTCGTTTTCCTTCTAATAACCATTCTACTGGGGTATTGGGCTGATCCTTATGTTCGAGAACCAATCGGATTGGTTCTAGGAGTACAACATGCCTGTATGCACTCCCTGTAGATGTCAACCTGTTAAGTGAACATTCTGGACTATAAAAATGACACCACTCAAATTGCTCAGGATCAGTTCTTCAAATGCCTCAGTACTGTATTCTAATAAAATAATTAGATCCACATCGGTCCTTGCAATCGCGCCTAACAATTCTAATCGTGCTTTTTACCTTTTAAACGAGTGCGTGAAAATTGTTAACAACATTATCGTGCTTTTTACCTTTATAACGAGTGGGTGAAAATTGTTAACAACATTACAACATATAACTATATATTTTTTGAATAAAAATATTAAAACCAAAACCCTAAAAATGGAGTCATTCGTTGCTTGTGATTTGTGCACCAAAAATGTGGAGATGAGTGAGTTTGAAGCTCATTATGCTCAGTGCTCAAAGCCTCGGAATGCCTTCGAGGTTTTAATGTGTAAATCAAAAATAAGGTGTGACTTATGCTCTACCTTAGTTCGTAATTATGAATTTGACGAGCACTATCAAAATTGTAATGGACCTATAAATGCATTCAACGTTTTAATGAATGTTGAAAAACGGCAACCACAAAACAGAAGGCAAAATCATCTGGACGATCATCCCACAACATCATCAAATGCTCTCAAACGGATGAGAATGGATGAGGGTAAGGAAGTACTCAAACAAGGAAAAAAAGCTAAGATTAGCGAAAATAAAAATGATTTAAAATTAGAACTTTTATGTCCTACTTGTGGTGATAAATATCTTGCATCAAGGGAACGTCAACACATATTGACCGATAAGCATAAAAATGCATCAGCCAGAGAAGTAAAAAATAATGAAAACATAATTCTTCTTAACTCTCAAACTGTTTTTCCTGTTAAATCATATCGAATCAATAGTACAGTCCAAAACACTATTGATTTAAAAGATTTTTATCAGCATTGCCAAAAAAATATAATTGAAATTATAAAGCATTGCATGATAGAATATAGAGCCATTAAATTCAACCTAAGAGTTTATGGTACCTATATTAAACAAACAGACGAAGGAGTTACTGTTGAAACAACAAAACATTTTGGGACATCATATAAATCTGTATACCAAAATGAAAGCATTATCGATGAACTTAATATGGCAGTAGATAGCTTACTAGCATCGAGCAGTGAGTTTCAAGAAAAAGACTCTGGTTGGGCAATAAAAAATTTCAATTATTTTGAAATTACTATAATAAAGCTAGAAAACATTCCTGCTAGCGGATACATTCAGGCCCC